CTCCCAGGAAACTCGCGAATCCCGCGGTTCCACAAAATTCCAGAAAGACGACGGAAACCCTTTCCCTCTCATCTAGAGGCCTCCTAGATGGGGCCCGAGTAGATGGGGCCAGCGGATCGCGCCGCATCTCCAATACATCGCCGATGTATCGGCGATGCATCGGCGACGTCGGCGATGCGTCGGCGACGTTGGCGTGGAGGAAGTCGGACCCCTCATCGAGCCACATCGACGATGCATCGGCGATGCGGCGCGATCCTCCGACCCCATCTACTCCGACCCCATCTAGGAGGCCTAGATCATCCTTTCCCGTCGCGGGGGGGGGGCCCAGGGAAGACCTGGAGAAGTCCCGGGGAAATCCTGGGTCAGAAACGCTTCCCTCCCGGGCGGATTGGCCCTGACCCCAGCCCTGGCCCTGGCCATGGCCGGGCCCCGGCCATGGCCGGGCCCCAGCCCTGACCCCGGCCCCCGGCCCCGGCTCCGGCTGCGGTCCCGGTTCCGGGCCTCTGGCCCAGGAAGCCCGCGAATCCGGCGGTGCCACAAATTTGTTGTGGTTGTTGGCGACACGGCGCCTTTGCCGTGGACGCCCTCGGCCAGAGGCCGAGAAAGCACCTAGAGGTGTAGAAAATGCCGGCCAGACGTCGCCTTAAGCCACATCCGGCTGGAGGCAGAAGAAGCGGCGAAGGACCACAGCCAAAAAGAGTCGCCAACTCAGCCTAACCAGCTCGTTTCCGAGTCCGGCGCGGAGAGGGAGGGGAGGAGGTGGGACGAGGCCGGCGCCGAGAGGGAGAGAGCTCCCGCGTTCGGTTCTGCAGCGTGCGAGGCGCCGCACCACACACCACCGCACCACCAACCAGGGAAGGGGACGGGGGATGATCGCCATCGGAGTCTTGGTCGTCTAGATGGCCGTCTGGAACCTCGCCGTCGCCCCCCACCGCCGCGTCCACCTGGGCCGCGTCAGGAGGGGGGCGAGGAGGTGGCGCCCGTCGCCGCTTCAACGGCGGAACGCTGTCTAGGCCGGCAGCCGCCAGTCGCCTAGCCGCCTGTCCGCGCGGGGCCAGAGCAGTCACGAAGTCCCCGGTAGACGCCCCCACCTGAGCTGGTTCAGGAAGAGGGGGAGGAGAGAAGGAGGAGCGGGCCGCCGCTTCGAGGGCGGAGCGTTGCCTGGGCCAGCAGCAGCCGGCCGCCGCGCCGCCGGCCCCGCAGGGGCCGGAGTCGAGCCAGAGTCCCGGGGCAGAGCCTCCAGGATGCGGACCCCGAGCTTGCACGACACGACCTGAAGCCGGGACCTGTCCTGAGTAGCGGGGCTGGCGATCGTGATGATCCAGCCCGTCTTGGCCGTGACCCTGGGCAGCCCACCAAGCCTCGTCGACCTCATAGGTTTGCCCGAGGGCGACGCGATCGGGCCGAAAGCGGGGGCACTCGGCCCAGAAGTGCCGGGCGGACGCGGCGGGGTGCTCGCAGAACGGGCAGGGGGCCTCAGCGTGGGCCCGTCGAGTAGGGGTCCGAGCGGCGCCGCCGCGCCAGACCGACAGCAGACTAAGCTCGTCCTTAGTAAGGCCCTCGCGCCACTGGCTCCACGGGGCCATAGAGGACGCCTCGATGTCGACGTGCGCCATGCCGTCCTCGTCGTGGCGGGGCCTCTGGGGGCGCACCTGCAGAAGCTGGGCACGGGCGCAGACCCGGAGGACGTGCTGCCCGCTGGGCGACGAGGCGTCGAAGTAGGGCGGGAGGCCAGGAGGAGGCCACGGCCCCAGCCACGGCGGCCGCCGCCCGGGGGTCGAGAGCGGGCCCGGCGCGGACCCAGACGGGCAGCAGCCCGGGCGACTCGGGGTGGGACACCAGCCCGAAAGTGGCCGCGTGATGGGCCACGCACGACCGCCAGAGGGGCGACCGAGGGAAGCGGGCGGCCTGGCGGAGAGCCTGGGGGGAAGTGCTGAAGACGGGGAGGAGCTCGAGGCGTTCGGCCCACCAGCGCCGTTGGTCCCACCAGGTGCATCGGGTGCGGGCGACACACCAGAAAGTGAGCTTGACAAGGGAGGCGGGGGGGCACTCCACGAAGGGGGCGGCCCAACGGTACTTCGAGGCCACAGACATGACCGCGGTGAGGGCGCGGATGCCAGTGCTCCCGGGGATGTGCAACAGCTTGCGAGTGCAGTCCTCGATGACCCCCCCTCCGTCGCGAGGGCCCGGGACGGGAGGGGAGGCGAGGTGGCTCCCAGGGCACGCCCGGATGCCCACGTGCTCCGCGTCCTCGTCGTCCTCCCAGAGCTGCCGCTTGCCGGTGTGTTCGGTGAGCCCGAGGTGGCCGTCGAGGGTAGTCGTGACCTCAAGGGCCGCGGCGCGGGCGCCAGTGTGGGCGCACTTGAGGCTCCTGTCGTCGACGTAGGACCAGGACCCGACCTCGGCACGGGCGCGCATAGCATAGTGCCAGGGAAGCAAAACGGCCCCCAGGACCCGGCCCGAGCAGGGGCACCCAGCAGGGATGCCGGCAGTGGGGTGGAGGGCCGGGGCCGGGACCCCAGAGACGCAGCAGATGCGGGGAGCGGCCCACGTGTGCCTGAGCCAGCGCACAACCTGAGGCGGTGCCACAAATTCCAAAAACTCCACCTGTACATGCGAACCTGCTCGCCTGACTCTCCTCCTACCTTTATTCCCCCCCTGTGCTCCTACTCCTCCTCATCCACCTCTTCCTCCTGTCCCCTCCTCATCTTCTTCCCCATGTTCCACGCCTTCCTCCCCAACCTCAGGGTCGGCGACACCGGCCGTAAGGCCTTCGTAATAGCGATAAACCGTCCGTCGTGATTTTTGTTAATGACGCGATATGGTCTGGGAAGCGCGGACTGAAAGAAGTCCAGCCGTCGGACGTCTGCGGGGGGCGGCCAGGCGGTCGTCGCGCGGCACAGATGCGATGCCCGCGGAGGTCGTCGCTCGGTCGGTCGGGCCGCGCACGGTGGGTCGTCCGTCGCCCGTCGGCGGTAGCCCGTCGTGGTTCGTCCGTGGTGGTCCGTCGTCGTCGTCGCTCGTCGACCTCGTCGTCGTCGGTCGAATCGCGGGCCGGCGTCGAAGGATTGTCGTGGGTCGGCGGGCCTAATCGGCTAGGCCTGCCCAGGCTGGCCGTGGCCCCTGTAGGTCTCGCGCGGTGTGCGCGTGCTGCGGCGGTCGCCTTCCCCCCCTTCCCCCCCCTCCTCCTCCTCCTCCTCCTCCTCCTCCTCCTCCTCCTCCTCCTCCTCCTCCTCCTCCTCATCATCATCATCATCATCATCATCATCATCATCATCATCATCATCATCATCATCATCATTCACCTTCTCCTCCTCCTCTTCGTCCTCCTCCTCCTCGTCCTCCTCCTCCTCCTGCTCTTCCTCCTCCTCTTCCTCCTCGTCCACCTCCTCTTCATCATCTTCCTCCTCTTCCTCCTCCTCTTCCTCCTCCTGCTCCTCCTGTTGCTGTTCCGTACTATCATGTTTCCGCTACCAGTTATACCATAAAAGTTGCATTCGCCTTAGGAAAATGATTGTGTGTAGTGTTAGTAACGGTGTTATTGGTATTACCAGCATTACTGACACCACCACCATGAGTATCATCATCATCATCATCATCATCATCATCATCGTCATCATCATCATCATCATCATCATCATCATCATCATCCTCATCATCACTATCATCATCACCACCATCATCATCATCATCACCACCACCATCATCATCATCATCAGCATTATAACCATCATTAGAAATAAGAATAGGAATAGGAATGGTAGTAGTAGTAGTAGTAGTATAGCAGTAGTAGTAGTAGTAGTAGTAGTCGTCGTCGTCGTCGTCGTCGTCGTCATCGTCGTCGTCGTCGTATCAGTACTAATCGTATTAATAATAGAATTAGTAGTAACATTATCAGACTAGTGTTGTTTTCCGTGTGATTGGTATTCGTATTATGTGTAGTAATATTGCTAGTGGTAATATGGTTAGCAGTACTACTAATAGTACTAGTACTACTATTGCTAGTCTGAAATATTGGGATTATCAAAAACAGTAGTACTAAAAGTGTCAGCAGTAGTGCTATTATTACGAATGTGAAGATATTTATTCGTCTTAGCAATAGTATTGCTAATCGTTTGTTGACCAATCGTAGTAATAGTGTTTTCCAAATTCTAGACGCTTCGCGTAATCCCACCAGCCCATCCAGAAACGATGCGCAGAGAAATTGCCTCGATCAGGGAGGTGGGCAACACACAGAGGAAGGGCCCCCTAGTGGAGGCCTCTTGGAACGTCTTGGGGGCCTCTTGGCGGTCCCGGACGCCTCGTAGAGCGTCTTGGATGCCTCAGAAAGTTTCTTGGGGCCTCTTGGGGGTCTCTTGGGAGCCTCTTGGGGGCCTCTTGGGCGCCTGTTGGGGCCTCCTGAGGCTTCCTGGGCGCCTCTTGGGGCCCTCGTGAAGCGCTCTTGGGAGGCTTGGGAGCTCTTTCGGAGCCCTCTTGGGCCATCTTGGAGACGTCTTGAGTCCTTGGATGGCCACCGGAAGCGAAAAGGCGAGAAGGTCAAAAACACGAATGTTCCTCGGGTTTGGGAAGGATTTGGGCCTCTTCGGGGCATCCTGGGGGAGCTCTTTGGCCACTTGGAGCCGTCTTGGAGCGGTTTTGGGGCCTCGTGGAGCATCGTGGGAACCATCTTGAGGCATCTTGGGATACCGTGAGCCATCTTGGAGGTCATCTTGGGCTCCCCCATGCGCTCCTGGAGTCATCTTACACAGCGCCACCCCCCCCAGGAGGCCAAAATGTGGCCAAACCCTTGGTAACATCAATGATTCTGGCATTGTCGCCGAAGCCTCTTGGAGCGTCTTGGGTGCCTTTGGGGGACCTTTGGGGGCCTCTTGGGGGTCTCTTAGGGGGTCTTTGGGGGGCATCCTGAGGGCCTCTTGGAGGTCTCTTGGGACCTTCTGGCAGCCTCTTGGGGCCCTCTTGGGGCACCCTTGGGAGCCTTGGGAGCGCTCGTGGGGCCATCTGGGAGGAGATCGATCAAAGAAGGGGGGTCTCAATTAGCGCTGCCCCCAAAAAAACAAAAATGGGGCCAAAATCCGAATAAAACCAATGGGTTTGGCTGCCTCGCCGAGGCCATTCTGGACGTTCCGACCGCTCGCGGAACCCCCCGTCCAGGTCCAGGGGAGGGGGCAAGGGGAGGAGCAAACCCCTCCCCGAAAGGGACGAAGGGAGTAGAAGAGGAAACACCCTAAACCACCTACGCCCAGAGAGCTGGTGGGATTTTTGCCAGCACGGTCAAGCCTTAGCATGAACGTTCGCATTGCGATTGGTATCGTTACAACAAACAACTGGTATGAACACCACTACTAGTATTCCTGATAGTAGTATCAATACCATCATCAGAATTAGTATTGCTGGTATCATTATTACTACTAGCATGAGCATCGTCATTCGCACCACTGGTCTTAGCAATGCTGCTGATATTTGTACTACTAGTATGAGTAGTGTCGTGATTATTCTCCTCTTACGTTGCGTATTAATACTCTTCGTGTTAATACCGTCCTCCGTCTCTGATCGAGCCATTCATATCATAGTAGTGATAGGATCAAGGATTTGGAAAACGTTCCCTGATTTTAGAAAATCCGTTTTTTGCAAATTTAGAATACGGGTTACTGCGTTTACTAAATGATGGTTCGTCTTGCTTTTGATTAGGCGGCACAATTTAATCCCACAAGCCCTCTGGGCGTAGGTGGGAGAGAGAGCGCGCGTGCGCGGAACTCGCAAACGGGGGGGGCCCCCCTTAGCTACCCCCCCCCTTGGGCCCCCCCTGCTTGAAGTTCCCTCCCCCTCCCCCCCTTTTTTGGGCCCCCCCCGGAAGCTACCCCCCCCCCTCCCCCCTTTGGCGGCTCCAGAAGCTACCCCCGCCCCCCCTTTCCAAGGGGGGGGGGCTTCGCTACCTCCCCCCCCCCCTGTGCGAGTCGTCGGCGGAAATTGCGCAGCGGTATGAATCTCTGATCTTTTGTCTGAACTCCTCAAGTTCGGGCCCTGCTCACAGGGCGTCAAAACTCCCGTGCCTCTGAGCACAAGCGAGGGGGCGCTAGAGCCGAGACGGTAGCAGGCAAAATACACATGTCAAACTACACATTCAATCACAAACTAACTCCAAGCAACAATATGGAATATGGAAACAAATATGAAACATCTGCCACCCTGCTGGGCTCACTCACTCATGCTCAGGCTTGCTCAACCTCGGAATTGCACGGATAAGGGTCCTCCAAGCTGAGCATCCTTGAGTCCGTCTCCTCGTCTGAACTGTACTCGGTCATGGCCTCATATGATGGGAAGTCTGGGCACGCAGCTGCACCGATGTGAGCCATTGTCCCGCCTGGCGTTTTGAGGATGCCCGCTCCCACGTGCTCGAACGGCTGGATTCCAGCGGCCTTCCTCCTCCGTGCACTCTGGTACTTCTCGTCGTAGACCAGCTTCCAGCGATGCCCGTTGTTGAAATACATCCGCAGCTGGCCTGGCTCGTGTCCTTTCGTCAGCGAGTTGGCGAGTTGGGCATCTCCATGTACCCAGAGCATCCAGTTGTTCGCCGCCTGCGTCCCCTCCTTCAGGGTCATGGCCTCCACGTCGGTCCGCTTCTCCTTGCCCCGGAAGGTGTAGACCGTCGTCTGCAGCTTGTCGTACAGGCCCTTTGAATCCACAACCACTGCTCCTGGCAGTCTGCGTAGAATCCCCTCGGGCTTCCTCCAGTCGATGTTGTTGCCTAGGATCTCTAGCCACTGCAACTTGATGCCAAACAGCTCGTCCTCAGCATCCACGGCGGAGCGTGTCTCACATGCCACGGAACTGCGGCAACCACGATCGATCTTCCCGGACTTCCAGGATATGAGGCTCACGTCCGCCTCGTCTCCCCTGAGGATCTTCAAAGGTGCCAGCCCCGCCACCAGGCCCTTCGTGGACTTTCCGTCGGGACGGTTGGCCTCGGAGGAGTCGGACCACTCCACTGGCACCAGCACCTGTGCCTGAGAGTGGCTGTGCATCACCACGGGTAGATCAGCACACTCACGGACACGATCGACCAGGCGGTTGGTCTCGTTGATGGTCTGCACGGTGGACGATGGCATGGTGCTGAGCAGAAGGCTCGTGTCGGCCGAGTGCATGGGGCCTGACTGCTCGGACCTCCACCCGATGGCCCCTAAGATAGCCCTCAGCTGGCCCTTCTCCTTGTCGGTGGTCGGCATGTCCTTGGCCTTCTTGCGCTCCGGGGTGAGGTGCGCCTTCTCGATGGTTTTCACATACTCGCTCTGGTCCATGCGGAAGCTCCTGTCGGGCTGCTGCTTGATCCGCACCCCCGTCTGCATGAACTCCTCCGACTCCCAGGCTTTCCACTTGAAGCGCTTCTCGATCTGTTCCCGGGCGGTGATCCACCGGGGGTCCGTGTCGTTGCCACCGAGCAGGAAGTCGTCCACGTGCGATCCCGCAATGGCTATGATGTCCATGTCCCCCTTCGCCGCGATCAGGTCCCCGAGCACCTCTGGGTTCGTGAAGTCCTTCAGCGCCTCCTTGGTGAAGCCGTTATCCCTGCCGTGGCCGTCACCGTAGAGCACCCACACGCAAGGGTCCATCTTCATCTGGGTCCAGCCGAACTCCTCCAGTGCCTCGCTCACGGTCATGAACCACTCGATCGCTGCTTCCACGAGCCCGTAGACCGCCTTCCTGAGCCGCATCGCAACGCCCTCGGGCATCCCCAGCGCCGCCGCGAGCTCCTTCACAGGCATCACGAACAGGTCATGCTGTATCTCTCTGTTTTGCGTGAAAGCCCCCGTCACGTCCGCTTTGTAACCTTTGAAGCCCAACCACGCCATTGTCTGCAGCACCAGGTGCCTCGAAGTCCTCGTCATGGTTGGGGCGGTGGTCGGACGGTGCTCGTACTCGGGGTCCATATAACCCAGGACCACAATCCTCGCCTTCGGCTTCTTCGTGCCCGTGTTCTCGTCCACCTTCCACTCGAGGATCCACCTCATGCGCATGATGTCCTCGGGAGGGGGAGTCACGCCTGGTGGGAGCGTCTCCAGCACCGAAGACACAATGTAGTTGTTCACCTCCGTGGCCTTTGCCTGGCTGAACTTCGCCACCTCGTCCGGGGTCAACGTCCTTTCCGAGATCTCGCGCTTGCCCTTCCGCAGCTGGCTCGCCATGTAGGTACTCATGTGCCGCGTGGCCTGCTTGAGTGGCTTCCCCTCCAGGGGAACTTCAACGGAGACCTCCAGCGACGTGCCCTGACGAGCCCAAAAGGCCCGGGCGTCTGGAGTGGACTTCGCCATGAGGGCCATGTTCTCCTTCATCTGCTCCTCCGCCAGGGCTGCTCGAGACGCTCGGACTTGGTCGGCTGTTCCTCCTGGATGGTATCCTTTCTTGAGTATCTTCTTCCGCACTGGTGGTGTCGAACGGCCCCTTGAGGCCTGGCTTCCTTCTGTGGCTTGTCCTGTGCGGGCCTTCTTCAGTGGAGGGGCTGGTTCAGGTAGTCCCTCCCAGGTCGAGACCTCCATGTCGTCCTCGGTGGGGTCGTGGCCCGTGAAGTCCAGGTATTCGTGCTTCATCGTCTGGTTCATGAAAGTGTGGACTGTCCAGGGCGTGTCTTTGCCTCCCATCAGCTCTGCGTAGGCGATCTCCCGTGAGGAGGCCGCCCGGATCTGGCAGAGGTCCACCTTGATGATACGCCCGGCTCGCACAAGCCACACCACGGACCCTGCACGCCCAGGGTGTAGGGCCCGTCCTTCGCCAAGGTCCCCGTCCACTGGCCGCGCCGTCTCTGTGGCCAGGACCCTCGCGAGCCCTTTGAATCGGCCCTTGGCTTCACCCTTCTCTTTCCGGAAGTAGCGCACCCACATGCCTGGCGCCACGGACTTCACCGCCTGATTCTTCGCGTTCTCTGCCCTGCTGATGCGTCGCATGTAGACTTGCCTCAGGTACTCCTGCTCGGCAGCATACATCCTGGCGTAGTTCTCTCCGAACTCCTTGTCGACCCTCTGGGCCTCCACGTAGGGCAGTTCGTCGAAGTCGCTCTCAAAGAAGTGTCCGTCCAGGTCTGGTGCTCGCCCAAGGGCATGTTGAAGGGGTGAGTGTCCTCGAACATCTTCTCGTGAGTTCCCAGCAGCGGTCGCTCTGGCCAGGGCTTCCTCCGTCGTCATCTCGGGGTTCTCCGTCACCAACTTGCCCATGGTCCCCTTGGTGGCCTGGATGGCCTCCTCGGCGAGGGAGATGTGCCAATGGGCCTGGCCAGGTATGGGTTCGTACGCGATGGAGTCGGAATCAAAGTACGCAGCCGCCTGCTTGGACATCCAGGAGCCCTCGGGGTCCACCTTCACCCTCTGTGGCTTGCCGAAGTAGGGCATCCAGCGCTCCTCATAGAACTGCTTGGTCGGCCCACACGGGATTCCTGTGCCGGTCCTCGCCAACCATGTGGTACAGTAGCTTGCTGACGCGCACCCGGCAGTTCTCGTCTATGATCAGGGAGATCTTGGACTTAACCTTCGTCTGCGGGTGCTCCCATTCAAATTGGTCCGCCTGGATGTGCTTCCACTTCGGCGGGATGGCTTCTAAGCTGACCGGCGGATGTGTGGGCTTGAACTTGTGCGCCTCTTCGCAAGCGTCACAGTGGAAGTCCTCAGCCACCTGTAGCACCTGTGGGCTGGCGCCCTTCCTCCGAAGTGCGTTCAGCAGGGAGGCCTTCGAGCTGTGACCTGAGCCACGGTGGATTGAGGTGAGCCACCTCATGATCTGCTGGTACTCCTTCGAGCTCAAGTCTGAGTTCATCTTTGTCTCCTCTTGGTTGGCTGCCATCGCCTGGTCGGCCGCCTCCCCGGGCTCCGCCACGCACCTCATGAACTCGTGGTAGTCGGGCGCAGCCTCCTCGGTCATCGCGCGCACAGCTCGTCTGGCAAACTCGTCCGGGTAATAGCTGGTGGCCGCTGTCAGACTGCCTCCTGTGAGCTCCCCATGTCGGTGATCTCCTGGGCATTCCAGGGACATCCGGGCTGCCATCTTTGGAGACGTCGTAGCGATAAGCCATTCCTTCAACAGCGGCAGGCCCTTCCCGTCCTTCACGCCGAGCTGGCAGCCTGCCACCTTCACCACCGTCATGGAGCAGTCCTCCACCATCTTCCTGATCATTGTGTGGCCCCAGCCCTCGCACTTGATGGGCCACTCCCAGTGTACATGCTTGCCTTGAGCCACCTGGTCATACACCAGCTGCACCGCGCCCTTGTACTCCTTGATGGCCTGCAGCCTGCGCTTCCTGGTGGCCTCGGCCCTGATAGGGTTGGAGCCGTTGAAGCCGAGGGTGAGGGTAGACAGGGGGCCGCACCTCGTACTGATCCACAGGTGGTCTGGTTCAGCCTCGTCACGTGCCTCCCGAGCCCTCTGGTTGCCACCAGGTGTCCCTAGCTTGAAACCGTTCCACGCACTGATGCGGCATACAGCGTCCTCGCCGAACTTCTCCGCCATCTTAGTGCTCAGGATGGATGTCGGGCTGCATGCGACCTCCATCAACTTGGTACTGCCGTGGGCCATCAGCGCCTCGTAGTCCTCAGAGTGGCCGTTTTCCTGGATGCACTTGGCGAGCCAGCGCTGCTTCCTGGGGTCAAGCTCCTTCGTGCAGTTCAAACCTCTGCCAGACCACTCGGACTGGAACCCACTTGTACGAAGCTCCCTGCGTTGGAACTGGCTGAGCTCGCCTGGCCCTCCAGCTGGCCGAGCCTCTGGTTGAGCTGGTTCAGCGCCGTCAGCATCTGCTCCTGGACCAAACGGTTGGACTCCTTCTCCTCCTTCTGCATCTTGATCGCAGCCTCGAGCTTCTCCTGCTCCTCGATCTCGTCCTCCATGATCGCGTCGACCGTTCTCCTGCGGGATGACCTCGCGCCCCCTCGAGCCTTGTCCGGCTCTCTCGGGACCTCCTTCGGATCCCTGGTCACCCCGGCCTTCTTGTCGATGATCTCCTGCTCGTTGAGCCATGAGGCAAACCGGGCCAGCTCCCAGCTGCTCTCCTGGTTCGCCTCTTTCTGGCACCAGGCAGCGTAGGATGGGTACTGGCTCCGAACCTGCCGGTAGGTCATGGCTCCGTGCTTCCCGAAGCCCATGTAGTCGGTCGGCTCCGGGGTATGCTTCATGAGGATGGCCTTGCGGATCGAGAGCTTGAGTGACGGATTCGTCATGCCCTGTGTCACGTGGGCGCCTACCTCCTCTGCCTTCGCCAAGAGCTGGGACTTCTTCATCGAGCTGAGACCCTTCATGGCCATCTGCACTGGCGTCTCGTCCTTCGGAAACATGTGCTCCTTGAGGACCTGCTTCAGCTCGTCCACGCCCCAGGCCGGACTGCACGGTAGGCCAAGCTCCTGAAGTAAATGCAGCACCTCCGCTTTGTAGAGGCCCTGTACTGCACTGCGAGACGTTGGCATCTGGAGTGGTCGCACCGCACGAGCATGCGATCCTGGCGCAGGTGAGCTGGACCGCTCCGCGGATGATGTTACCCCAGCGCATCTCTTTGCTGACATCGACGGCCGTCGGCCTGGAATATGGAATATATGGAAAATCTGGTGGATCTGGAACTGCGGGTGGCTGGATGCCGTCGGTCGCTGTCGACTCGAGTGAACTTGCCTGGCTCGAGCCCGAACGGCTATGGTACTGCAGCGGGACCCCCTGGTTCACCTGGGATGCCCTGTCCAGCTGGAACTGAGACTGGACACTGGGACGGTCGCTGCCTTCAACTGTGGGACCCTTCTGAGGCTGTGGCCCACTGTGGTGATGAATGCTGCGGGCCTGGTTACACGACTGGCCTCTGCACGCACCTGCCGAAGCAACTGGGGACGCATCGGTGACAATGCTATGATCGGATTGAGATGGATGCATGTAGCGCTCCAACTGCTCAGTCCGGTCATCCGAGCTGCTGTCTGGCCCCTGGCACATTGCGGCCCCGGGCTGGCGGTCCCACTCACGCATGCTCTCGCAGATGGTCTTGAAGTTCCGCAGCTGGCTCTGGTCCTTGACGCGCTGCTCCAGCAAGTCGTCGACCAGGCTCAGGTAGTAGTGGCCTCCGTCAGGTGACTCCTCCAGCTGCACGGGGATGTCCGGTGCGAGCCGCACGAACACGGCCACCCCAGTCTCACAGTCCACGACGGCCCCGAGCTTCTTCAGCACCTTCTTGGACACCAGGATCGGGACATCCTTCGAGAAACCGTTGATGGCGATGTCGCCTTCCACGCCCGCGCCCGTGATGCCGAACTTCACCTGTCCGTAGGCGCGCTCCTTCTCGCCATTCCCGAAGCTGTAGACTGGCCTGTAGTTCCGGTTCACGTCCAGCAGCCTGGTGTCGCCATACTTCTCCAAGTTCTTGCGGGCCACGATGTCCAGGGCGCGCTCACCACCCATGGCGTCCGTGCACCCTAAGTCGACGATGCCCTTGCCCTCGAGGATGGCCTGGTCCGCAAACATCGCCTCGCACTCCGACTCCCGGGGCTCCTGCTCGGCGACCAGCGAGGCCACGAGGTTGAACTTCAGCTCCTTCCTGCACTCTGCCACCTTCGCGCTCGCGTCTGGCGGGCCTGCTGCTCCAGGCCGTAGACGTGGGTCATGACGGTCCGGGCAGTCCTGAGCCCAGTGGGGTCCTCCACACTTCGCGCACTTCTTCTGCCCCTTGTTTGGTGGCAAGATCTTGCCTTTGCCTCCTACCTGGGGAGGAAGTGGTCGGCGTGATCCCGCTGGGAACCCCTTGCCTGACCCCTTCGGCGCTGGCCGACCTCCCCTGTAGAAGCCTCTGCTCAGCCTGCTGTCTGCCTGAGCTTCACGAGCCTGGCGGAGGGTACGCTGGGCGGAGTGGATCGCCGCGAGCGCCTCCGCCTCCTCCTGCTGAGCCGCCAAGTAGCTCTCGATGTCGTCATCGTTCGCCTCCTCTGGGCCTGGTTCTTCCTGTTGCCACTCGCTGTTCTCCATGTCGGCTGCGAAGCTGCTCGCATCTGGTGCCTCATCTCCGTCAAGCCATGTGCGATCATCTTCTCCGAGCTGGGCCGTGTACGCCTTCGGGAACCGTGAGTGCCCATCACGCTCCGCCAGGTCATCGTCCTCCCAGCTCGAGATCAGCTTCTCCCGGATGGTGTCGACCTCCAGCGAGCCGCCAGTTGCCGTCATGATGGCCGCCCGCTCGCGCGAGTCGAGCCCTGACCGTACGAGCATCAGCCAGCCCAGGACCAGGCTCGGGAATACTTCTGGCAAGTCCCCGAGCTCCTCCTCGGCGTCCGCATCCTGGTCAGCAGCGCTCCAGAGGTGTGAGTCTTCTTTCTCATCGTCTGGCAGGCCGTCCGTGTACTCCCATGTCCATTCGCTACCCTCGAATGGCCAGCCACGTTCGACCTCAACCCAGCGGTATGGTCGCCCTGTCCTCTTCCATGCTGGAGCGACCTGGACCGGGACTGTGTGTCCCAGCGCGCGTGCCAGCGCGCGTCTGAGGTACTGGTACCCTGTCTCGAAGCGGTCCGTCCACTGCTGCATGGGCTCGAGCTTGCGGCGCTTCGTCTTGATCAAGAACGTCTCGAGCTCCTGGCCTACGTCTGGCACGGCTTGTCGAGAGCATCTGCGCTCCAGCCACGCCAGGAGCCTCTCCACGCCATCTGGTCTGGAGAGCCACCCAGCCTTGCAGCGCTCGACCGCGATCTCGGCCCGGCCCGTGAGCTTCGCCTCCAGCCGCGGGCCGCACAGGTACCGGTCCTCCTTCTTGGTGCCCTCCTGGTACTGGAGGGCTTTCCGCCTGTATGTCCGCCAAGTCTTGGGATCCCCATCCCAGCTTGGCACCTTGCCTCGATGATCCTCGGTCATCGTAGTTCCTCTCCGTGTCAACCACGTGCTCCTGCTACCATGCGAGTCGTCGGCGGAAATTGCGCAGCGGTATGAATCTCTGATCTTTTGTCTGAACTCCTCAAGTTCGGGCCCTGCTCACAGGGCGTCAAAACTCCCGTGCCTCTGAGCACAAGCGAGGGGGCGCTAGAGCCGAGACGGTAGCAGGCAAAATACACATGTCAAACTACACATTCAATCACAAACTAAATCCAAGCAACAATATGGAATATGGAAACAAATATGAAACATCTGCCACCCTGCTGGGCTCACTCACTCATGCTCAGGCTTGCTCAACCTCGGAATTGCACCTTGGGCCCCCCCTGCTGGAAGCTACCCACCCCCCCTCCCCCCCTTTTTGGTCCCCCCCCCCGGAAGCTACTCCCCCCGTCCCCCCCTTTTGCCGTTGTACCAAGCCTCGCGTACTTCAGGTAGCGATACATTGTAAAATGGATCGCTGCTGCAGGGGTCAACTACAGTGTGTGCAGCGGTCGCTGCTACCATATCTGCTCTTGAACCCGTGTGGCGACCCACGCGCTCAGTCACCTTGAAAATCTGGCGGGTTTTTTTTCACGACAAGGCGATAGCACTTGAGACAAATCAGCATCCACACGATCCGTTGATACTTCCACCTAACAGCTGTATGCTACACTACTGCGTGGCACCTGCTCACCCAGTCGGAACGCTATGTACAAACATATCCTCCCCCTCCTCCTCCTCCTCCTCCTCGTCTCCCCCCCTCCAACCCCGACGACGCTGGAAAGGGGGGGGAAGGGGGCGGCAACGATGACGACGGCGACGACGCCGACGACAGCGGCGGTAACAACTGGGACAACGACGACAGCGGCGGCGACGCTGACGGTGACGGAGACGACAACGACGACAATGGAGGCGACGATGATGACGGCGGCGACGACGGTGGCGACGACGGCGGCGACGGCGGTGGCGACGGCGGCGGCGACGGAGACGACAATGACGGCGGCGACGGCGGCGGCGACGACGGCGAGTACGACGACAACGGGGGCGGCGGCGACGGACGGCGGCGACGACGACAGTGGCTGTGCCGGCGGCAGGGTCCGATGGGGCAGACGGCTCGGCCTGCTTTGCCCTCTCCAACCAGCTCTCCGCCGTGGC